GCAGCGGACACCAAGGGCTCTTGTCTTAAACAAGGTGGACAACAGTGACCATAAACCAAGGTTGTTCTCTGACCCTCACGGGAGCACCCTGGTTCATTTCTGCCTCCACTTATAAACACAAACATATTCACACGTGTATACACACACACACACACACACACACAGAGAGAGAGAGAGAGAGAGAGAGAGAGAGAGAGAGAGAGAAGCAAAGAGACCACACAGGGAACCTGAAGTAACCCACTGAAAAGGGGAGTTCAGGAAGGTGTGAAGGGAGCAAGAAGGAGGACCATGAGACCTGGTCAGACTCTGGATCTGTTTTGAGGGTAGAGCTGGGAGGGGTCATAGCAGAGTGATAGATGATATGAGAAAAGGAATTCAAAGTCAAGACTAAGGTTCTGGCTGAGAACAGAAAGGATGGTGTGACCACCGACAGGCAGGTCAAGAGGACGGCCATGGGGAGTGAACAGACAGACATCAAACTTGAAGGACAAGAGTCCAGAGCCATTGGATTTGCAAGGGGTTGTCAACCTGTAGATGATATTTACAGCCACGTGACAGGATGAGGTCAGGGCGGGAATGAGCATGGAGAGAAAGGAGAAGAGGCTGCAGGCAGTGGGACGTGGCTGAGGAGCCTCCGGTGAGAGAGGCAGAGGAGACCCAGAGCATGTCCTAGAGAGCCAAGGGAAGGAATGCGGGGGACCGGGGAGTAACGGACTGTGAACCCTATTGATAACGCAAGAAGAACCATGAAGAGATGTTCAGATTCTAAAACGTGGAGGCCTTAATAGGGTATGGGGAGAATGGACTCATGGAATAGGCTCAGGGGAACGGCACGCTAGGGGTGTAGCCAATATTTTAGAGACAGGACTGAGTTAAAGGGTAGCAGAGATGGGCCAGCAGTGGGAGGGGATGCCAGGGTTAGAAGAGGTGGTCTGCCTCCCCCCCGCCACGCACACATTGCTATTGTCTTAATGATAGATGGGAGAAAATCTACCATTTTACACTAATAGGACATTTTCTGGAGAAGAAAAAATATTGATGATTCTGTCAAAAGGGAGTTGTAGGGAGGGACAGGATCCTGAGGGGTCTGTCTTAGTCACAGATGCAGAGAGATAGAGGCAAGGTGTGGTACAGATGAACCTTTGAACTCTCTCTATCTGGTAGCAAAGAATGTGGGTGATGGGGATCAAACTCAGCATTCCTAATGACGAGGGCCCAGGTGGGACATCCAGCCTCCCAAGAGTCTGCTGTCTCGTGGTAACACAGCCTTTCTCCCCATGCCTCTGCCCTCCCTCCTGCCTCAGCTTCCCGTGTCTGTGTGTTTACCTCCCCCGTGCTTAGGCCCAAGCTGGGAACCACGAGGAACATCAGTTCTCCTTCCTCTGTGTCCTCTCTGTCAATCCGTGTTTACAGCAGGCTCTGGGTGTGGGGCAGATTTTCTTGTCCCAGCCAACACTTCCAACCAGAACTTCCAGTTTATGCTTGACAAAGAATCCTATTTTGAAGCCAAGCTAGGGTGGGGCCTCCTCTGGAAACCTTGGGGCTGCCTCCATCTCCAGCTTTGGTTCTTTAACACGTTCGCCGAGACCATGGTTCCCTCCAAGCATTCTTTCAAACACCTTTAGATATCAGGTCCCTTAACGCTTTTCTGTGAGGTAAGTGCTGTGGATGGGGGCCATGTCACAAACAGGGACACTGAGGCACAGAACAACCGCCTCAGCTGAGCTCAGTCTATCTATGTGTTGGTGTCAGATTCTGAGCCCCTAGGAACATGGACTCTCCTAGTTTTTCTCCCTCCAGCGAGGCTGCCCATGCGCGGAAAGACGATGATCTCTGAGAGGATGCCCCTGGACCAGGTCCAGGGTGAATATCAGCCATGGACTCCTTGTTGCCTTATTAATGAAGTGAGGGGGTTGAAGGCACCCAACCCTTGTAGGTCCATGACCTCACTTCAACATAGGTAGGCTACCTGAGTCCTGGCCAATCATAACCTTGAACATCAACATTGACCTGGCAATCACCCCTCAACAAATGCCAACACCAGCCACCCCCACTGCTGGCTCCAACCCCTCCCAAGCGAGAAAGCTTTACTGGAAGCTTGAGCCTGGGCCACAAGAGGGCACAGGTACCCCGACTTCCCACACAGGCTGTCACCTCATTTCACCCAGCATCCTCCCTCCTGCCACCCCACCTGAACCCGACTCTACCGGAAAGGAATGGGCTCAGCACCCACTCCAAGCCCTGCCCAAGGAGGTGGAGGAAGTCCAGGGTGGGGAGGGACACTGGCCTTTCAGTCACCTTAACAGGAACTCACAGATACGACCCAGCCCCCCTACCAAGACCTACCCCAACACAGATGCTCAGCCTGTGTCTAGTTCCCATCGTTGGTGCTCACCCACAATCCCAACTGTCTCAACGTCCTTCCATCCTCCATCCTGCCCTCCAACACCCCATCACCCCATCAGCACCCCTTATCTCTATACCCCTCCCATCTGCAACCCAACCCTATCCCCAAGCATAACTTAGTATCACACTGCCCTTCTTCCCAGCCCCATTGCACATCGCATTTCCTGTGAACTCATCAGAATCCCCAGAACCCTAAACACAGTCCCCTTCCATTCCTGCATTAAACCTAGAGAAGGACTCTGAGATAAGAGATTCTTCAATGGCAAGTCAGATAGATCATCTGATTTTAGAACATCTCTGCATTTGTGTTATTGTCTTTTGAAATGTTTTTTTTTTCCACATTGAGCA